TGTATTTCCCACGCCTTATTATTATTTAGGGAGAAATACTTGTAAATGGGCATCAAGAGCTCTTATTGGACGCGAGACAGCAATCCTCTGAAATTAAAACGCAATCGACGAAGCTATTGACGCAGGTAGCACAATTGGTTTTTAAACGGAAATAAAGGGGTATAATACTGGCTATCCTTGAGGGTTCAAGAGCATAGAAGAACGAAATTAATAAACACTGCCTTCACAGCATTGCCCGTATTGTTTATGATCATGTTTATAATCAGGTAATTTTATAATGCTACATGTTCTTTTAAACTGTAAGATTTGCTGATTGTGACAAAACGATTATAGCTTAGTATTCATATTTCATTGTCTCGATTCCCATATGAAATTGGTTTAGGTATAAGAGAACTCTGAAATGACGGACAAATATTTTACCAATAACCACCGAAATGTCAAGAATTCAAGACTGTGTTTATCTAAAATTATATCTTGATACGTAAATAGGAAAAATGTATCTTACCAATTTATGTTCTGGCATCGTCGATTTATGGCTCATTTTAGTTCATTATCATTAGATTTTATTAGTTAATTAATTTATTTACTTATCGTGTATCGTAAAGAAGAATACTCTCCTGTTTATGTTCTAAATCTAAAAGAGAATTTGTGATAAATAAGGTTACTACAGCAACAGTATAATGTTTCAATGTAATTACAGGTCGCCTCATCAGTTAAAGGCAGTCGTCTATTTTTTTTTACTATTCAATAGAGCAAAGTTCTCAGAGTCTTATTAACATTTCCACGTGTAGGCCCGAAATTAGAGGAGAGAAAAAAAACAAAGGTTATATGAGATTTTCGCTGCTTAAATTGCACTGTGCACAAACGTTAACGACAAATTTGAAATATAATTTATTCGTAATGAAGAGGTATGGATAAGCTAAAATGATGAAACCATTTGACATCTGGGATATTTTCAAATTTTTTACAACCAAATGAAGTTCTCCATTGCCCTTAATTGAATTGGAGAAGGGATTTAGTCCAATGTTCGTCTCAATAAAGCTGGTGCTTTTCTGAAATGGTATCCGGGTATGTCAAATATGGCAGTGATAGTATATGAGACGTAATACTACTTGTTAGAAAGTCACCACGTCTTTGTATCTGTGTGTCAACAATGAAACCGATGCTCCGTTTCCTAGGTTCTGATATTATTACGTGCTTAGCTTTATATATTCAGATGGTTCATTAACGAAAACCATGTATCCTTTATCATAATTTCATATTCTCATTTACTTGTTCATAACTGTCGCTTCAGTATTAAATTAGATTTATAATTAACTCTATACAGTTCTAATGAACAGCTGATCTCTATCCTAAATGAAAGATGATATCATATCCTCCAAGGTTTTTGTTTGTTCACTTGGTATATTTGGATAAAAATGTAATAACATTTCATTTATCACAATAACAACATTCGAGTTTTGCCTATCTTGTAATTAACGTAAAAAAGGAAGATATATAGCAACCAGATCAATTATCAACGCCACCTCACACCTTAAATCTGAACATGAAAGCTCTGCTGTACAAATTACCTATTTTCCATATTATCGGTACAAATTATCAAAACGGCGTATCACAGTTTTCCCCAACTCACTTTTATACATGACAAGGAATAAATACCAAAAAAACATCATTATCGGCTTCGCCTCCAAATTAACAAGTTGACATCCAAACCTAAAATATACACCACAGTACATTATTTCCATTAGACTCATTGGTTTCATTGTTGTGGAACTAGTCTGTAACGTCAAGTAGGTCATTGATTAAGTCGTAAAACGTCCCAGATTGTCGTCCAATTATAGGGTAGGATGTGAGAGAAACCTGGATCAGCTGTTCTTTATTGCTTCCATCTTTTTATAACAGTCTCATATCCTCGTCTGATTATTCTCTCTCTTCTCTTTTCAGGTGAATTCCATATGTGATATTACATCATTAACTATCATACCTTCAGACATTGGAGAGTGGAAGACAAGAAGATAATTTACCTACTTTAGATCGAGATTTGAAGAAGAGACAATTTAAATTTTCTACATCATCGAGCCTACAGTAATTTAAGAATAATTAATCTCGCGTGATTTGTGGTGAAAAAAAAACGATAGTGACAACTAGACTAGTTGGACGGAAATGGGACTGCATTAATTATCTCGCAAGTGGATTCCACAGGAAAATGCCGAGGAACATTGCAAAATAATTTTTAAAAGTTGCTCTAACGGAAATCGCCTGACAACATTTTGATTATTTTCGCGCGCATTTTGAAACAAATGCAGAGTTGATATCTAACTTCCGGTTAACTCTTTTTGTGAGATTCTGGTGTACCAACATATCTTTCCCAAAATTAAGAACATTTATACGATATATTAGTTGTTGTTATATTTATAAGTTTTGAAAACTGAAGACTTAAATCGTTAAATAAGATACTGAAAGGTAATATTTTATCGTTTCATTGGGATTTGTAACATTTAAAGAATGGATTGTGACAAGTGAGTGCGTTCAATATTCAGTGTAATTTAGATCGAAGGCATTGATTTAATAAATCAGGTTGATACATTGAACTGGAGTACCTGTCTTCTACAGTGGAAATTAACTTGAATGTGGCAAGATTTTAGACTTAGATTTCATAAATCAACTCCTCTACGGAAAATCTTTTAGATACTGGAAAAGCTTCATTAAAAGTGGGACGTGGCAGATGACAATGTTTTCCCAAATTACCTATTTCTTCAATTGTGTCTGTATTAAGAAACCTACGCTAAAAAGAAATCTAATCTGTTAATTAATGATAAAGTGATTGAAAAAGAAGTCGGCAAATACTGATTATTTCACCTGCACATTGATTTTGTGCTTTAAAAGAATGTTTTCTTGGTAAACTTAATATTGTGTAAGTTTTGCTGATTAGAAAGATTCATACTTTCATTATATTAAATGAATATAAATACAGGTAAAAAACAACATAAATATTTTACTGGATTATTTACCCTACATCATTAGATTGCTCTCAACTGTGCAGTGTTCATTAGCCTTAATTCAACCTGTAACATTTAACATCAACGACAGTGACTTTATATTTGAAAAACTCGATTGTGCTGTTATCAGTTAATTGACTGAAACTATTGTGCTAGCTTACTGAGAAAAACTCATTTAATTGGTCAGCTAAGAGAAAATTACTTTTGGTTTAGATGCACTCATAAATATATTAACAGATACATTTGTTTTGTGTGAAAGCATAAAAAGGGAGATTCTGTGAAAAGACTGTTTATAGAACTGTGTTGTTTTTCTGAAAAACAACTTTCACAATTTAAATAGTATACTGTTGAACCGGAACAAAAAGATAATTCTAAAAACTGTTGGATCGAAACATCATTTTTCAAGGAATGGTATACAATGTCTCTAACGGATTGTTAGATTACTAGATGAAGTCGGTGGTTGTCCATTAATAAAAGCAAAGATTGAGAAATGGTGATAGCAGGTCATTGGAACAAATAAGATAGAAAGTTGATAGATAGAAGATAATTAGGAAGTGTGGTCGAACTAATAGTTTAAAGTTTATAACTGTCTATTAGCTAGGTAGACATTGTGAAACTAACTTACATTCTACTTGGCTGATAATAGGTCTAATCTGTAGTCACCATTTCAACAGAAGTAGACATTATGACGTTATCAAGTTGACTTAAATCCCATTCTCATCTACTTGGACATTTTCATGAAATTACTCGTGGAATTAGTTGTCGTCACTGTTAGCGGACTGTGTATTTTGGAACTCTAGAGATAAATTCTGAACAAAAAAAAATCCTTGGATGTCTGATTTTCGTGATGTTCTTTTACTAACGCATCCTACATGGTGGTTAAGACAAAAAGTGAATCTTTTACCGATCGAAACCTGTCAAGAAGAAACAGAACGTTTTAAGACAACTTTATGGGAGCAGTAATTCTAACTTTTGGATTATATTTTCCTAGACAAAAGCCCATTACTGCCAATTACCTATTTTTAGAAAGAATTTGGTCGTTCAACCAGAATAGAGGAGGTTGACGTGTGATAAAGATTTATAGCGTGCCGTTTCGACATGACTGCGTTTTAAAAAACTACTTTATGTAATTTGTGTCTGGAAATATCGGGAAAACGTGCAACTATTACCTGTTGCGACTTTTTTTTAACTCCTGGGTGCCCTATTGTCCAAGACTTCATAACAAGTTGGAGAAAGCGCCGTTATTTTATGCTAACGTCTATTTGTCTGTGTGAAGTTGACGTTATAATCAATCATAATAAGATGATATCATTTGACTTTGAACTGTAATTTTTAAAACAATTTTTTGCAACTCAATTTTTTATATATTTTAGAATTACATTTATTTATAAACATATGCCGAAAATGTTTATTGCCGATGATAATAGTACAGACTACAGTTGAATGTGATAATTATAGTATATATGCTAGGTATATAATAGTTTAGAATATAAATCATGGATATACGGTGTTGTTTTCTTAAGTCGCATCGCAAGCACCAAGCTTGTTCATCAACACAGACCATATCCGTATGACTACAGAAATTGATAACATTCTGCAAACGTAGTAACAGTTCAGCTACTGTGACACCAAAATATCGTCGTGATTTGGGATTTTACAAAGGCCTTTGACCAGGTTTTGCCTGAAATTATAAAAGAGGCAACATATTGTGTGTTTCGTGTTAGAATGTGTGACTTAAAATCTGTACTGGATTTCAAATACAATCGGATTGTAACGGTACGTTGACTTCTTCCAGATTAGATTGAAATCTTAGCGACTTCTTAGGATTTGTGACTGTGCAAGAAAAGAATTTAGGTTAGGAAACTTTTCTAAATCTTTTTATAAAATGGTATAATGATTGTTTTGCGAGCGGAAATGACAATAAATTGACCAATGTTTCCTTCAAATAATTCCACCATGGCTATGGTGCCATTGACACCAATCCATATCCTTGATAAATTCCCTGAGAATTACTCTGTGATTATAAATGGGTATATTTCGCCCATTTTAGTGTTTCTTACCATCATAAACAATTCCATGGTGTGTATTGTTCTGCTAAAACGAAATATGAGATCTCCGACCAACACCCTATTGGTTGGAATGGCAATATCAGATATGTTGACCGGTGTTTTCCCTTTGCCCATTTTCTTAGAATTTTTCGCAACGGATCGTTTGAAGGAGTTTACGCCTTATAGTTGGTGTAATGCTTACAAATATCTTGCGGAATTGTTACCGACTATATTTCATACTGCGTCAATATGGTTGACGATGGCGTTAGCGATACAACGTTACATCTACGTATGTCATTCGTTTAAGGCACGTACGTGGTGTACCATACCGAACGCTATTAAAGGAACTATAGCTATTTATGTTGTAGCCATTTTAAGTCAATGTACTAGATTTTTCGATTCGTATTTCGTGCCCGTAGTGCTAGAATCTGCCGTGTATGAAAATCGGACTGTAATCGGGTGTATAGAAGAACATGAAGACTGGGCCATGGCGAATATTTTATATATGAGTATATATTACTGGTTTCGTGTTTTATTTATTCATTTAATCCCGTGTATATTTTTAGTAGTTATGAACGCACTTTTAATCTACGCCATGCGTGTAGCTCAAGTACGTCGCATGCAGTTATTACGCCAGAATAAAAAGAGTGAATCCAAAAAACTGAAAGACAGTAACTGCACCACGTTAATGCTGGTTGCTGTTGTAGGTTTATTTCTATTGGTTGAGTTTCCACTCGGTATTATAATGATCTTGCTCATTGTTTCAAATACTTTTGAAGTACATATAATAAGCAAAGAAACTTTCCAAATATTATCTATATTTTCAAATCTCTTCATTTTATTAAGTTATCCGTTCAATTTCTTCATTTATTGTGGTATGAGCAAACAATTCAGAGAAACTTTTAAGCGGCTGTTTGTTGGTGGTCAAGCGCCAATGGACCGCGAATATTCTGCCTATATGACTTTACCTACTGGAACGGAAAACGGGAAGACCGCTATAACAACTCATGGAAATGAAACCGCCTTGTAAATCATGTTATTTTCCTGTGATAGGTCATGATGCTTCTTCCGGTTGGCCATCTGAATACGTCACTGTTTCAGTGTATAGTCAATGTTTTGCAAATGAACAGTTTACTATTTTGTTTTGAGGTGTCGGACACGTGTGTTTTGTGACCGTTGTAAAAGAAATAAGTAAGCTTCAGGTGGTGGAAGCAATGTGTATTGAGAAATCGTGGTTCCGATGGTAGTGTTGATAACTATGTTGAGGAGGTGTTTAGCGGTTGAAATTAAAATCTACGTGAACAAAACATTTGGTTAAACCGTTTGAATCGTTTTCCTTATACATCGGATTTTGGGACAATAATTGCATTAATATGGAGTATGGCTTATACCTCAAATTCATTTAGGCTGGTAACCAAATTATTAGGGCGAGGGCCTCTTCTTGAAGTTTAATCGACAATCTCAAAGGTCACGAAGGGAAGAAGAATAAATGTAACGAACGTTAAGTATTGATTGTGACGTTTAAATGACCCACTTTATGACATGAGGGTGCACCTAACTTGTTAATGAGGACAGGGTTCGCTAGTGACTTTATATTTCTTGGACGCTCAGTGGACAATTTTGTGGAGTTTGTACATCTGCGTTAATTGTGAACACTGTTTGTTGATGATATATGGCGTGTTGACACTTTGTCCTTAGTATGAAATCCTAGTGTGTTTGACGTTTTGTGTCTGTTTGAGCACTTCGACATTTATAAAACTCGGTTTACAGCTGATCTTTGTGCAAGAGTTGAGGGAAATTGACCGATGAAATCGCAATATTGCTTACATTGAATCGTATATTGTGAGGACATACCGCTCGATGGTTTTGATCGTGCGCGCTCAGAGGACGATTGGACGTCCAACTTTGCTGTCCAATGGATGATATCAAGGCATAACAAATGATTGTTCTGCATGTGTTATTAAGAAATTTCGAGATAACTAGAAACACGTGAAACGTCTATGTGCTCTGTTAGGGAATTCAGTTTCAGGCAAAACTTTTCAACTATAGGGAGATTCAAAATTTTCTGTGAAAAAAGGTGTATATAACAGTGATTCTGTACACGTATAGGTTGCCATATATCTTAGGGATGAGATTTTGGCTGAGCAAGATCTAGATTAAAGGAAATGAGACATTGCTACCTTTTGTCGCTGAAGCTCACCATCAATATATTAATGATTTGGGTGTATTTGTTTGAAAATTGTCATTCCAAGAGTGACATTATTGCTGAACATTATCTGTGGACGAGCAATAACCAGTTTGATTCGTGTTACGATAAAAAGTATTTTAATTCAATATTTTGAAATGAAATGGTGAGCATGCGAAGATTGATGCAACCTATAACATTTGTTTGAAGTGATAGATGTATAATGTGAAAAGCCTAGTTAAGTTTAAAAGCACACACGGAAAGGCAAGAAAATCTGTAGCCAGACATAAGATCAGACGGAGATGTGCATCCTGTTAAAGTAAAGCTCATCAGCATTTCATCTCAACAGTGTCTGGAACAGTTTGCATAACAGTATTATATTTACTAAGGAATGTCGAGACATTGCAGCGTGCGAAAATAATGTGGCATCATTTACCTTATCAGATATTCCAAATTAATGCGAATGAATCGGATTTGTTATGGTAACTTTGTTCCATTATATCGTTCATAGTTGACTTGCAGGCAAAATAGCTCGTTAACTGTATGAACCTTGTTAGTACTCTTCTGGAAGAGTCGTTGGAAATAATAGGAACATACTATTTAACATAGATTAACACATCTTTATAGTGTCCATAGGGTCGGGAACGTAGTCGCTGTAAACATGAGGTCAAGAGATTCCAGATTTGTGGGAGGTGAATAGACTATGATAAACTATCCTAAAGCGACTCCCTTCTCCCTGAACAAATATCTGTCTTATCATCTGATCTGGAAAATTCATTCTGTTTTTCATGTCATTAAAGATTCATGTACATGATGATCGTAAATGATATTTATTTGCCCTTTGTGTTCGCGCGGTTAACGTGACAGTGTTACACAGATGAAGAGCATAAATTATGACCGCCTTAATTTCAGATCATGACAGAGCATCAATGAAGAATCGTGAGGGCACCATTATGATTTATTCTCATTACTATTTTTCGCATGTGTTAAAATATGCGTAGATATTTGAGCACTAATCGGATTGAACATTACAAATATGGTAAACATACATTTTGTTAGTTGAATATACGAACTAATTGAAACGTGGTCTCTTTGTTTGTTGCGCCATCCTGTGCATGATCTCTCTTGCCCACGGTTGTTATCAGAACTTCTCGAACTGATTCTTCACTCACAGTGATTGTACTCGTGAAAGTAATTTATATGAATGACTCTCAATATGACTGAAGCTCAAAAGGCTTAAGCTCATAGTGAGGTTAATAACTTACAGTTTATATTGTGGATCTTAGAAACACAATCAATTTGATATTTTGTTGTTTGAATATTAGATTTGATGTTGTTTTTTTATGTTAACTGTTGTAATTTAATCCGTCAAGCATTGCGTCAGATTGATGTGATTTTTCTTCAGAATGTTTTTCTTTAGATGGTTTTAAACTGCCATTTTATAAAATGGGCCACAACTCGTGTTCTGTTCAACATTTTATGGTTTTGTGTATTTTGATATTTGGAACAAGTGACTTAGCTTCGAAACGGAACGGAAACACGCCCGATCTGCGATATTTTGTAAAATTGAACGAGCTATTATATCAAAATCAGGCGAGTTTTCGTTCCTTTGAGGTGACTTATTCTTATTATATGTAGTTGAACAGCCTGTTTTTAAAAGTGAAAATACAAATCATGCAGTAAAGATCACAATTTGGTGATTGATATTTTTGCATCAGATTTGCAAATGTCTCAATTTTAAATACATGTATATTCATACATTATATATTGAAACTGTTCTTAGCCTTTGATGTTGAATTAAGTTAGTTATGTTGAAAGTAAAAGGGAACGATATTAAAAATAAAAACTCATAAGAAATAAATCTTACAAATGAATGACAAGTTAGAAAAATATAATCGTCATTATTCAATTGATGTGTTTTTCAGTCACTTGACGTATTTCGTGCACTTGTTGAACAATGATGACGATGAAACATTCCTGAAAATAAAGGAATCCTGTAAAGTTGATGGAAGCTGATGCAAGTTCATGCCTATTCTAATATTAACTACAATACTGGCTGATTATTTTACTTCGCTTCAATCATTTTTTCTTGATACAGTAGCACTTGAAATGATGTCGACGTCATTAGTTGATGAAATATCGAAACCTTACATTTTTTCTTTCAAGAATTAAGATGTTGATTCATTAATCTATATTCTTGTAGGGAACAAAGAGAAGGGGATATTTATTTCCACATTAATTCTCTTTTTATATTATTTATTTATTTATTTGTCTAATTATTTTGTCACCCATTTCAAGAATTTTTTTGAAGAATTTTATTATAATTCAGTAATTTCATTTCACATATTATTATTATTATTATTATTTTTATCTTATTATTATATACATGATATTGATTTTGCTCTGTACAAATTCATGAAGTGAAGATCTTTATATTTCTTGTTTAATTCGACTTATTTTATGAAATTGTGTTATTTGATTTATGAATATTATTTTATTTATTTGTATCTGACAATAGAAAGATATTGGTCAGATGTGGTCATGAATGTTGTAAAGTGGTACCATTATGATATTAATATCTATTCTGATACACATGTAAAATTATGAAATCTGAATGGGGTTAATACAATTCATTGAATAATGTAGAAAAATTAATTTCTGATGAAAAATTTACTTCATGGTTTATATCAATTTATTAATTGATTTCAAACAGAGTCTAAGTGTTATTGTTATAAACGAACGGACTACCGTCCATCTTTCTAAGAACAAAATAGATTGTTTTGTCTTTTGGGAATCTCAACGTTCGATCTAAGAAACCCCTAAAATATCATTACTTAGATGCTGTTTCGGAGTATGTGACATCAAAAATCATTTGTTCTTATCTGAACTGTATGATTCTTTCGATCAAAAGTCAAAACACTAGATATGTCCCTCAACATATTGAATGGTTATTATTCAAAAGGACGTATATTTTGTTTCTTATTTCTAGATTATGGGATCACACGTGATTTCATTTTATGATTATTAATCATGATTTAATCGTTGTGCTCATGGTCACATAAAGTCTGTAGTTTATTATATTACATGTGATCATGAACTTTTTTCGGGATTTTTATCACGATATTTTTTGCACGTGGTAATATTTTCATAAGTGTAATGATAAAGCTCATTATCATAACTTATTGATCATGATCCGCTGTGTTTATGTGTTATCGTGATGAAATTATACATTTTATATTAATATGATTTCAATCATGATTTTTCTTATATGGATTTGTAATTTGTCAACATTTTACAATAATCGTGATAAGTTTAATTTTTTTTTCTGCGATCATGTCTCAAGAGGGATTTTGATCATGATATATCGCTTACAATATTGATTTACATAATAAATGTTGTTTTTGGTGTTTGGTGAAAATCACATGATGTGGAAAATCATGAAATATCATAGATGGAATCATGATTGATTTATTACTATTATGGTCATCTAGTGTTTGATCTTAAATTGTTGTTATTTCATAGTTTCTTGTTAATGATAAATCATGATGTATTTTTAGTGAAAATAATAGTCATGATTTAATAATAATCACCAACATTTATTAACTTACATTATCATGATGTGTCTGTTATTGTAGGTGACGTCCGTGCATGACGTCAACTACGTCATAATTTTTGAATGAATTATGATTTACAATCATGATGAGTTTGTTAACCTTGTGGATTTATGATCACTGTTG